AAAAAAAAAAAAAAAAAGGTGAAAAAAAAAGAAATATAAATGAGACTACATTTGCCTGAATATCCAGTGACTGTGCAGTCAGTGTTCAGGTAAAATGGGGCCTTGTAAGACTTGAATTCACTTCGATTTTAATACCAGGTTTAAGCTACTACCACCCATAGAGCAACAGATTTCTTCGACTACAAGATCAACAACTGTGGCTCTCTCAATGTCTTTAACAACCTTTGCTCTCTCTTTTCCTTTTTCTCCCCCCTTACTTTTTATTGTTTGTACTGGTGAACTAGAGAGAGATATCACATTAGAATGGCTTGATTGTGACCTGGTATTGAACAGAAAATATGCATAATCTGCAACTAAACTGCTTTCAAATATCTGACTTCTGCACAGACACATGTAACACTTAAATAAAATATTGGGTTTTGGTTCATTAGCATCTGTGCTCACACAATCCTATCTACTCTTTTCCACTTATCCTGTTACTCTTCTTCCCATTTCGTTGTCTTCTTTATTCTACCTGAAGAAAAAACAAGACAACATTAAGCCTGCAATTAGTCTTAAGGATCTGATTATGTCCATTTAAAACTACTCATCTGTTTTCCAAATCATTGGCTTCCTCCCCAGATCAGGCTGTGACAAAACCCAAATGGTGACAATCCAGCTCTAACAGGGGTTTAAAACATGGGGCTTCAAACATGAGTGCCACATACTTATACACCAGAAGGGGAGGGATGTGGGTCTGGGGAAGGATGTGGATTCAGTTGTTCTGCTGAGAGAACTCGACATTCACTTCATCCCAAAGCAGGATACAATTGATTACCTACAGTTACCCCTAGATGAAGTTTCAGCAAATGCTCTATTTCCTAACTGGTACACAGACTCTCCTTCACCGACCTTTAGCACAATCTATTTCTGACCTTTCCTGTAGCATTGTGTTCAGGTGGTAAGGTGATGCTACGTTCCCAAAAACTCCTCCATGAACACACAGTCACAAACATGCCACAGACAGCTGGCTAATGGGAGAAGAGTCAGGAGGGGTCATTGCACAGAGTTCCAGTGGGGGTTTATCAGATCCACATGACTGAAGGGGTCCAGGGACAAAGATGAAAATCAGCTGAGGGTCTGGGTTTAAGTACAGGGAAGGAGGGGACAGATCTGAGGTCAGGGTCCAATGGGTACGAAGGGAAATGGTGTGAAGGCGGGGCAAGGGGAGGCAGGGACCAATGGGATAAGCTGGGCGGAGTCCTGCACCACATGAGGACCAATGGGTGTGCAGGGAACAGAGAACATTCTGGGGGAACAACCATAGAAGGGTAACAATGTGGGCCAACGGGCCAATGAAGGATACAAAACTGGGGTATATCAACATATAACTGCAAAGGACTGTGGGGAGAGGCCTTTTGTCACCCTGAACTAATGTTACTCTGACTACTCAGTGTCCTTCTTTCTAGGGTATGGACTTTGTTGTTTTTCTGGCAGGCCCCTGAGCCTCCATACTTACCTTTTGTTGAACTTCTATATTTTTATCACTGTCAACTAAAAATGTATGCCTGGTTTAAATACTTTTACGTGCTCTTTGGTGATCCTTTCTGGTCTCACAAAGAGGAAAATTACTGTGAATGAATGTTTTGGATTGGATTTCACCTACAGCATTTGAGATTAAGGAGCATGGGGAGGCTCTTGGGAAGAATATAAAAAATTAAGTCTGTGAGATGTGATAAACACACTAAAGCTCTTCTATGAAGTCATCACTGATGATCATGCCTGAATATGTGAGCAAGGAAATTCTAAATTGTACTTCTATATTTTTAAAAGTTATCAATTAAACAGAATTTAGGCCTTCAGAATGTTTTCCTCCATAAGCCTTCTATAAATGCCAACAGATTTGGCAGTGTGAGAGGGGTTTTCTCAAATATTCTGCAATCCAGACTTTGACCCTTAAGTCAAAGACTAGTAACGTAGTGCAACGCAGATCTGCTCCTTTAAATAAAGTTTTTGAATATGACTACGTCTCCATAAGCAAGTAGTATGAGCCAACAGTAGAGAAAAACAACCGGGTTTGGAGTACATATTTTGGGATACTGTTTTTAAATTTTAATTATCTCTACTCCATGACTGTTTGCAAAATTAGTTGGTGCTGAGGTGTAAGTTGCACTTCCAGAATGTATCTTCACTTAAATTACGTACATTTCAGATTCCACTCCACAATTTGAAGCCAATCATGGTTAAGTCGGGGTGCTGAGCAGGTACTGCTCAGAGTACCCTCCTGACCAAAACTGAAGCCCAAGTGTGTGGGAGGACATTTCTGTGTCCAGCTTTAAGCACATATTAATGTTATATGTATGTATATGTGTATATCCTCATATATATACCTATATGTATGTATACATTGTATCTATATATATATATGTATATCTTCAGTGTTTCATTATTTCAGAACTGGGACATGAGGCTGTGCTCTGTTTGTGTTTAACACTGAAATAAATTTTATCTATGCTTACTTGTGAGGTTAAGCAATATCTAAATAACTGGATGAGCTCTGGGAAGGTAGATTGAAAGGGATCTTTTCAAGGTCATGCACTGTCATTACAGCTTCATTAAAAGCATTTGGATGGTGGAGAGTGACAGCCAACTAACTCTGGAGTGACAGGCAGCAATGAGCTGGTGATGTAGGGCATTAACATATCAATGAACAAACAGGGAGGTACACAAGAACACCAAATTCAAACAGCTGAAAAATAGTAGGTGTCAGAATGCAATCAGCCAGATTGGAATTTCACCAGGGCACCAGGGCTAATATTGTTGCTTTGTTTAATGACATTTTTCTCCTAAGAATTTCATTAAAACAACTGTAATGTTATTCGTGTTATTTCAGGACATAGCATTAAGCTCAACATTTCTGGACAACATTTCCATTTAATGACAATTCTGTAACAATCAGACAGGCTGTAGTGGCTTGGCCAGACAAAGCTGTTGTTTGAAATATGAATCCCTATGCAGTACAGTTAATGATATATGCTGCTTTCCTCAAATCTATCAACAGAACTACAAGAACAAAACCAATCTGCAATTATAATTGTGGCTTAAGAGAAACACTGATGAAAAACAAAAACAATGGATTTATTATTTTTAAATGATATTTTAATTTTATGATGGCTTCAGTGAAATTATAGTCCTTATGTGTGCCTGTGATTTTTAATGTCCTAAGAAATGGGTTTGTCTGTACTTCTTAAAACAAGTTTTAGTTATATTCACTAGTCTAAAGAATAAAAGCTTTCAATTTTCTCTGAAGAATATGGGAAAAATTGTGCAAAAACTGGATGGAAAACAGAGTAAATAATTATCTTGATAGATATATGTGGTGCAAAGGCACCCTCCATCCCCCACTGAATAGGCATTCACAGAATCATGGAATGGTTTTTATTGGAAGGGACTTTAAAGCTCATCTCATTCCAACCCCTCTGCCATGGGCAGGAACACCTTCCACTAGACCAGGTTGCTCCAAGTCCCATCTAACCTGGGCCAGAATATTTTTGTGTCCATTTTCTGATTTTTCAGCCACTGCTCTAAGAAACATTTAAGTATTATATGTATTATATTCCATAGCTACTTGATAGAAAAAATACGGAAGAAAATGATTAGGTAACATTTTCATTTCAATGTTTTCAAACAGCAAAGTCATTAGATCAGTAAATATATGCTTGTATGTCTTTAATTATCATCAGATTTTCAGAAACATGTAGGACCAGCTGTTTAAAAATGCTGATAATTTCACTTTAGGTAAACCTTGTCATTTTACTCCAGATGAACACCTGATTCTTACTGTTTAAAGCATGTGTAACAGATAAATAACTAATTAGAGCATATTCATCGTTAAAAAATGCATTAAAGCTATTCAAGCTCATGCCATACTAACATTTAATTACAGCTTTATATAAAAATATTTAATAGTTAGGACCTGTGGCATTACTGAAAGGTCATTTAGAAAATATAGAAAAACCTTTACCTACTAATCACTGCAAAATATTAATTACCTGGAGCAATTCAGAGGGGAACTAAGCTCCTTTGAATAATGTGCTGTACATCTGAGCTGTAAAAACATTCTTTCTAGAAGTATTTATGAACTTTAAACAGAACCCCTCTGGAAATTCTACCCATACAGAAATATCACAGCCTTCATGGAGAAGTTTTTCCTGCATATGTTTTTTTCCCAGAGGAATCAGCTGTAGGCTCAGTTGAGTCCATGGATAATATGTTGATGTCCATTTAGTCTGAAGTTAGGAGGCCAGCTCATGGTTTTTTTCCAGCTCCTGGCCTCTCTGGGAAGCCTGTCATCAAAGCTGTTAGTTTTGCCAGTACAGTCTTGCTCCTGAGAAGCATTAAGCAGTGTTTACCCTTCCACCCATGAGCTGCCTTACTGGCTTCAAGCAAAAATCTGAGAG